TTAAGTAAAGATTTGGGCCGCTGGCCCAACCCAACATTAGTACATCCCGAGTAAAGAGTACATCATCGCAGGTTATAGGTCAAGCCCGGTTTGATACCATGAAAGAATCGATGAAAACAGGTGCGGTCTCATGCAAAGGAAGCGCATTATAAGATGACGAGCCTAGGTGTACCTTAGTGAGGTTCCATCCCAAAACCGCCCGTTTATTCCCAATTCCTACAAATAGAATAAAAAAATTAGTTAATTACATCAATGACGCTAGACGATCATGCTTGTCCAAAAAGGTCAACGCAATACCGTCTCCATCACTTCTATTTAACTCAAAGTTTCTATTGCTATAAGATTTCGGAATAAAAAACTTTAGGCCACTTATCATCGATTGGTATTGTGTTTTCCGATCTGATGTGAGAGACTACACAAATGTATGTTGTTGATATGCTTGTAAAATCTTACATGCTTGGTTTCATGTTTCTCACCTGAAGAAAATGCTTTCCATTTCACGTGGCTACTCAATGATATTAAACCTTAAGAAATGCACGTTTGGGGTCAGTTCGGTTAAATTCTTAGGGTACTTAGTCAGTAAAAATGGGATCGAAGTTAACCCCGAGAATGTCAAAGCAGTTTTTTATTTAAAACCAACTTCGATAAAAAAAAAAAATGTTCAAAGTTGGACCGATTGACTGTTTGCCTTGAATCTTTTTGTTTCCAGATCGACATATCAGTGTTGACCATTTTTCGAAGTGATCAAGAAGAATCGAAAGTTTGAGTGGAATAAATAATGTCAAGATCACTTCTTCATTATACCTAAGGCTTTCTTAACAACAGTGTCGGTCATGCAAAAGCCAAAGCACGCTAAAGTCCTCGATCTCTATCTTGTCGTCTCAAATATGGCTATCAGTTTAGCACTAGTTTGAAATGCCTGTAGCACCCCCACATCATCTTTATTATGTTAGTCAAACACTTCACTAAGCTGAACTAATGTATAGTCTCATGGAAAAATCGACCCATGCATTGGACAAAACTTTGCGCATATATATTTGAGTCACCCTATCATCGTGTTAATCAGTTGCGCGCGTAACCAAATTTTGCATTTACCTGGCACATGGTAAAATGGACTGTAGAACTAACACAATATGGCATTGTATTACAGCCTAGATGTTTTTGTTAGCCCTTTACATGCTAAAGCAAGTTTTTATTAAATTTTTTGGTTAACCAAAGTTAATTTTGAAAACGTTGGTTGAGTTAGATTTGAGTGAAATTTTGAGTTTGTATTAAATTATTAAAGTTTATTTGATGTAAACAAGTGATTGTAAGTGATTAACACTTAAAATTATGTGTGTGAATATATAACAAATTAAAATTGATATAATATGTAAAGGTGATTAATTAATATTATTTAATTATATTGATAATATCGAAAAAAGTTGATATTGAATTAGATTGATGTGATATGTATATGTGATGTATAAATATGATTGATTGATATTATTTAGTTATATTTGAGTAAGAATTTGAGTTTGTATTAAATTATTAAAGTTTATTTGATGTAAACAAGTGATTGTAAGTGATTAACACTTAAAATTATGTGTGTGAATATATAACAAATTAAAATTAATATAATGTGTAAAAGTGATTGATTAATATTATTTAATTATATTGATAATATCGAAGAAAGTTGATATTAAATTAGATTGATGTGATATGTATATGTGATGTATAAATGTGATTGATTGATATTATTTAATTATATTGATAATATTTAAAATAGTTGATGTTGAGTTAAATTTGAACTGTGATTGAAAAAAATCAATCACAACTTATATCGAGCACCGCTAAATACTAGTATACTACTCCACAAGTATCATAAATTCACATCCGAGAAATTCTAATCTTTTGTAGAGAGAGAGATAAATAAAAATAATAATAATAATAATAATAATTAAATTACACGCAACCGGGCAGATAAAAGTGGAACAAATGATTCAATATATGACAATTAATTTAATAAATTAAATTAATGTGTCAAATAATAAACCGTAATTTTGGAATTCGTATGCTTGCCTGATTGGCGATTGCTTCCTTCATCTTCACGAGCCTCCTCTCTCCCGTCCCCAATTCCAAAATCGCGTCTGTGTTCTCAATAATCCGCAGGCACAGACTATAGCCGCTGAGCTTGCAAATTAATGCACCAAAATTGAAATTTTGCTGGAATAGAGAGATAGAGAAGATAATGGATCCTCCTACCTCCTGGGACTCCTTGCGAAAACAGGTACACAATCATTCTTTATCTTTCCGCATTTGTTGCGCAAGTCCTCGCGATCTATTTTAATTTAGTGTTACATTTGAATGGAGTTTGTGTTAAATCGGATGTTGATGCAGAAAAGAAAAATGCTAGATTTATGTTGTTTACGTCATTTCGTTTTAATCAAGGGTCAGAAACGGAAGAATCAGCCATTGGCGGATGCGATGTGGAATTTTCTTTCAGTTTTTGTGACAAATTCTCGTACTTTAATTTTCTTCAATTGCGGAATGTGAAAAAATTGACAGCATTATTAGTTGNTATTTGATCCTGGATCAAGCTTGCTATGAATAGGTAATTAAAAACATTGTATGACTTGTATAAATTTACATGTGATCTGTTATATTTTCTCTTTGTTTTGTTCGGATTCTGATATTTATTCTTACTGTGTTTCTATCAGGCGAGGAAGATTGAGGCTCAGCTGGATGAGCAGATGCATTTATACCGTAAATTAGTTTCCACAAAAGTTGATAATTCTAGTGATAATGATGTGGAGTCTGGAATCGATGAGCTATTGAAACAGCTTCAACAATTAAACATGCAAATGCAAGCTTGGGTTTCATCTGGAGGATCAGAAATCTTTTCTCATACACTGACTCGACATCAGGAGATTCTTCAGGATCTTACCCAGGTTAACAAACTTCTTATAACCTTGTAAAATGTTTGGAGCCATAATTGGAAGCTGATAATGCACATTTCTACCTTCTTTTTGGTCTTCATGCACTTATTGTATGTTTACAGAGTGGGCTGACCGCTGGAACAAAACCTATCTGAAACTATAACTCAAATTTCTGATTATGAAAATATTTGATTGTGGTGAAGGCATGGTTATGCACCACGTGTCTATGAATGTGTCGTGGAAAGCCAGCTGGGGCGTATGTTTACAATGTGTACAGAACTTTCTTGAACGTCGGTTTTGATGGTGCTTGTGATCCATACTAATGTAGACTCTCCATGCAAATTTAATAAAATTGCTTTATATTTGAGATTTCTTATCAGCATCCTCTTTCACATGGCAAACATTTACTGTTGATAAAGGACTCCCTCCTGCGTTATATATCTTACTAGGTCTGGTTTTGGTATTCAGGAGTTTAATCGACTTAATTCCAGTCACAGAGCCAAGAAAGAGCATGCGTCACTGCTTGAGGATTTTAGGGAGTTTGATCGTACAAGATTAGACCTCGAAGATGGTGGTGGTTCCTATGAACAGTCCCTTCTCAAGGAGCGTGCTTCCATCCATAGAAGTACTGGCCAGGTAGAGTAGTCTGTTTATGTACTCTGTGAGGTGAAATTACTAAGGTCAATGACTGGAAGCTAGTATCAAAGAGTTAAATTGCTGCACAAAGTTTTGACTGAGGTGATATGGGTCTGTTCATTTGTTCAAGAGGACGTCTCAACTGCCACTAAAAAGAGCATGATAGTAGAGCTTAAGCACATGTTACATGTGGAATTTTTTCGCTTGTTATAAAGATGATACGTTCACTATAATAGAACACGGAGTCAATCTATTTCTGAAGTGTGTTTTACAAAGCTGCTCTACCATATTGCAAAAGTTAAAGAGTTTAGGTTTCTCTGGCAACCTCACTTGGTATGTTTTAGGTACAATTGTGGAAAGACTGGGTACTTGTAAAGAAAGTAGAGATATAATTGTCCATCATGTTAATACACAAAAAGATAGCGGAAGTTGCAATGAGTGAGGAGGCCACATATGTCTAAAGAATCACCTGGAGTCAAATTGTTTCTTTTCTTTTTGTTTTCCCCTCTAATATATATTGAACTGAAAGAGATGTTTAGCATACAGCAAAGTACTGCTGTGAAAATGTTAGTCAGGAAATTAGGCCTATTTAGTTTTTATTACTAAGACTGAACATGTTATTTTCGAAAATAAGCAAAAAATAATAACTCAAATTCTGAATGTAACAGATTGAGATACTCTTAAGTACTAACCTTATTTATCATTTTATCTAGATAGATGCACTAATTTATCAATTTCGCTGCTTGATGGAGATATCATTTTAAAAGATCTGTAAATGTATAAATAAATTATTTATGTGTATAACGCGGTATTTGGTCCCTCAAGGTTAATAGGAGGTATGTTAATTCTCGTGCTTCAGATTAGCTGTTTCTTTCCTCACACAACATTCAACAAGCAAACAACATTGTGTACAGATAATTTTAGAAGTAACCTAGAAAATAGTTGGAAGTCCATTGCAAATGGAGCTGGAAGAGTCATTGTTGACAATTCTCCTGGCATAGTGCTAATAATGGACTAGATCAAAATGGCTCAATTAAATTCTAGTGCTTCTTCTATTAGTGAAGTTTCTAGAAAAAAAAAATATATCAAACGGCGCAATGCACCTTGGGTCGCTACGGAAACAGCCTCCTTGTATAATTACAAGGGTAAGGTCTGCATACAACTGACCCCCCAGACCCCAACTTGTTGGGAATATACTGGGTATGTTGTTGTTGTTGTTGTTGTTGTAACCTAGAAAATAGTTGACTGGATGGTTGATGAGTTCCTTTACTTATTCCATATTTGTTGCTTGAGTTAACGTATTGTATTCCTGTAGATGGACTCTGTGATATCACAAGCACAAGAGACCTTAAAGTCCCTTGTATTCCAACGTTCCACGTTTGGGGGTATCAATTCGAAGCTTAGTAATGTCAGCAGCCGTCTTCCCACGGTAAGGAAGTTAATACTTAATAAAATGCAATGCTTTATGTAACAGAGCTAGAAAAACCATATGCACACTTGTGAAGTATCTAAATACAGTAGATACTGGATAGCGCACGTGTATTGTTATCAATTTGTTTATTTTGCACATGTTAAATTTTGTAGGTGAATCATATACTCTCGGCAATAAAGAAGAAAAAGTCGATGGACACCATCATACTTTCATTGGTTGCATCTGTGTGCACGTTTCTAATTTTAATATACTGGTGGACTAAGTAGGTAGTCTTCGCAATTATCTTGGTGGAGGGAATTGTTTTGTACATACCTTATTGGGTTGCCTCTGGATTTTGTAGTTCTCTTATGTTTGTAATGGAATGTTTACATATTTGTCTCTCACTGCCCTTGAAGTTATAGAAAGCAAGATCCTTATTTGTATACTGTATTGTCAAAACTTCACTTTTGAGTTATGAGATTCTACGTGTTTCAGGGTGAAACATTGTTTTGTTTGTACGCAAATTTGAACATCAGTCAATAACTCGATATGTGAGATTATTCGTGCGTTTTCCTTCTTTTTTTCCCTTTCTGGTTTTAGTTTTCAGTTTTGACTTTCTTAGCAGATGCACACATCTCAAGCCAACTTAACCTTCGTGATCACCATTTTGACCCATATACTCTATGACTACTTAACTACCTTCAAGATGCAATTGATATCTTTACGAAAACAATTTGGGATATTCATAACAAGATGGCATTTTTTATTGGCGTATGAGAAAACGTGTTTGAAAATATATCTAATCGCTTATCAAACACATGGAAATAATTACTCACACCCTGGTCATCCAAATTGATCCAATTGCTTCTAAATGGGAATGATTTTATGTCCAGAACAAGGCCTTAGAATAAATTTACTCTGCAAGAAAAAAGATTCAGGAGCTTTATACAGAGTATACAACTCATTGCATCTCAGTGAAACAAATAAAGCCCATAACATCCTGTTGGTTTCACCAAAATAGACCAAAAGTATGAAACAAAAAAACCGATTTTAAATTTCTATGTGGTTGGCGCTATATCCATATTCTTTTCTGCCGAACCACAAAGAACAAATCCAATCTTTTCGCAGCTGCCACAGGAACCATATGCATCCAAAGAATTTTCCGCAATGACTGTTTAATGTGCTTCATGGTAAAAAAGAGTCCTTTCATCCTGAATTACCACATAAAGCAATACAAGATATGTCTACAAGTAAAATGCACAGGCAGCATAGTGTTACTCCACCTTCAGAAAACAATTGACCTTCCCCAACCACTGTATCAGCTCAATCCTGTCTTTGTTCGCAATGTACTTATGCAAAAACAGTGCAAGTTTATCATTTACTCCCCTTACATCCAGGAACTGGTAAAATCCAATCTGGAGATTCGTGTACAGGTTCCTGTTTGCAACAAGTGAAGGGTAAACAATGAGTTGATCACATGCCAAGGACAGACAATCACGGAAAGACTGCATTAGGGCTCATAGTACAATATGGAGACCGCATTTTGGCTAAAAACGTGAACTTCATGCTGGATTACTGCTCTGCAGATTTTACAAAAAGGGATCGATAATACACTTTTGCACTATAAAATCCACTCATATCGAGTGTTATGAATACAACCGAAATAAGTAATTTCCAAACTTGGCTGTCAAACAAGACTATCCTACTCCAGCCGTACCATTTTAATAGTCTCATTTTCACGCATTAAGAAAATGTAACCAATTTCCATGGTAAAATAGATGAATAAAACAAATCTTATTATACAGCTTTATTTACACCAATTCTAATATTGGGAATAATCTCATTAAATAGGGATATAACAAGGAATAAAAATTAAACATGCCTTGTACAAACAAAGGAGGCTACTGTGGTACAAGAGAAGGCGGAAAAAGAGGACTACAAAATCAGAGCACAGGGAGTATTTTCCAAGTTCATGCAAGCAATTCACATATTAAATCTGAACATCATCCATTACTATAAAATCCTCAGCAATCGACGTTATAAGTCATCACACTAACATGAAGCAAATATTAATTAGGCAACTAAAAAGAGAGAGACTTTATAATGGATTCAAAAGGTAGCAAGCAATAAACATCTCATACTTGAAATCAGGACCCATGTAGAATCGAGGCGATGATTCGTCATGTTTGTAAACGAACACTTTCTGAATTTCCAATGAATCGGGCCAGGCCGAACAGACAAATTTTATTGCATCACTCCTTTCTCCTTTCCGTATATCGACCAACATGCTAATATGAAACCGCGGCTTTTCCCGGGTGCCCCTTTCGTCCTTAATTCGATCAACTATGAACCCATCAAACATAGTCGCATCAATTTTTATATTCTCATCCTCAGTCGATTTCCCACTCAACGTGATTAACTGCTCACCAGGTCGATCTTCAACCGAGAATCCATCGTACTCCGTTAGAGGCTACAAATACAACAGCAGACGCAGAAAGAGAGAAAACCCATATCAGAACACATGTAAAGATCCAACTTTAAGCAATTGTGCCCGACATTAGAGTAACGATAGGGTAAAAGCCATCAAATTTTAAGCAAGACAAATAAACCAGGCTAGAGTCGAATATTCTCGCTTCGAGAAGTAGAAAACCCTCTTTCTTATGATTTACGATCGCGTGTACTCGCGAAAATAGAAAGGTAACCTGGTGAGGAGGAGCGTAATCGCACTGATATTGGATCTCATTACTCAGCAACCTCTGCATTTTGGACTGCAATGGCGAATGGGGCAACAAGGCGTTATCGGGCGACTTGTGGGCCCCGCGGCGCAGAATGGTGGAGCATATGGATTTGATGAGGGGGCAAGCTCTGCGGCGGCCACTGATAAGAGCTCCACCACTCATTGCAAATATTTCAGCTGAACTGTCTTCGTTCTCGCCTAACACTGGCACTGAGACATTTATAGGGTTCTTACTTTATTTGGGGAAAATTACTTCTCACCAAAGTACAAAGTTATATATTATGCGTTATGTTTTTTTTTTTTAACTTTGCCCTACTTATCTTTTTTCGGGTTACTTTGTTCATCTAAGAAGTAAAAAAAACCCTCCGTTCCAATCTCGCCTCTTTACCACCACTAGTCCCCTTTGTCTCCGTTAAAGTGACCAATTTCAGGATGGTGCATGTCCGTGCAGTCTTGGCATCGATCCGAGTTCCCTTTTGCTGCTCCACTGTCTGGTGAGTCTGTTGGGTAACTATGGTCAGTGGCTTGGATGTTCGGGTGGGGCCGTTGGCGATAGTCTTCGTCCGTGTGGTAACCGGTGCTAGCATTGGCGAGGTCGTCTCCCCCTAGGTCGTTCGATTTTTGGGGTTGTGTTGGTCGGATCCCCTGTCGTGTGTTGTCTTTTTCTTTGGTTGTTGGTGTCAAGGAGGTGTTGTGGGAGACGTCGGTTGCCGGGTCAAGGGGCTATCTTCGATGTGATCCATTTAGAATGAGTGTTGGGTCTTGTTGCTTTAGGTCAAGATAGTCATAGCCTGCTGAGTTAAGGAGTTTGGAGTTTCTAGATCCGGGTAAGGGCTTCATTCTGGCTTCCATGGGGTTATCTTTGCTGAGGTGGTTGGGTGTTTGTGGTGGGTAGTGAGGAGGGTTTTACTGTAGCAAACATGTGTGTGTTGTTGTTGGTTTTTTTTTGTGTGTGTTTTCTTTTAGGTTGTCGTTTTAGTCCAACTACGTCTAGCTACTAGTTTCTTTATGGAGTTTGTGTCTTTATAGAGTTTTTTATTGTTTTGTGCGTGATTGTGGGTAGAGCACCGGCTCTTTCCTGCAGAGAGAGAGAGAGAGAGAGTGAGTTAGTTTTTATTCACGTCTGCTCTCAACTCCCTTGGATCTCTGTGTAATTCAATGAGGTGGATCAAGTCTTAGTACTGGCCATAGTGGTGTCCGTTGGCACCTCGAATGTACTCGTTTTGAGTTTTTTCAATTACTAATATAATAATCGTTTGAAAAAAAAATAATTGGTTATCGGCAGGCATTTCTAAAGGGTAGAATCAAGCTTTCAGTCATTTATTTTGGACAAAGTTGTCAGTTCACCAATGTTGGCCTCTTATATCACTCAATCAGATTAGAGAAATTTATACCCATCCCTTGATATTTCATTTATATTACACTTATAAACCCCTTTCATTTTTTTATTTATAAAATAGCTAAACAAACACAATAATATTACAAATATACCTAATATGATTCTATTGCAAATATAACCATTCATCAGAATTTTCGCCCAATATTTTGCTCTCTCGCGTCGTGGGTTTAGAACCCTTTCTTCTTCGATCAAAATCTTGCCCACATCAGAGAAATCCGAGCCAAAAATTCCTCCCCATCGCTGCCTTTACTCGCTCGTCATCTCACTAGTAGCTCTTCACCGGTGTTTTTCCCTTCAGCCCTTTTTCGGTCGGCGCAGCAGAGAGACGAGCAGCACCTCACGGCTCAGTCCACGAAGTTCGACCGTTCTCGTGGCGGCGTATTGCACCATCGAGTCCCACACCAGCAGATCCAAGCCGATCTGTCCCTTTTTGGGTCAACCCTTTTCGTATTTAGCTCAGAATTGGAGCTGAAAATGGCGAACTACTGCATTTGGCAAAGGTTGTCATATACCTATTAGATGAGCATTTGTTTTGAAATTAAATCAGTTGAGTGATTAAAGGTGTAATGATGGTGCCAGGGAATTTTATGTAGAAACATTATTGAAATATCCGAACTATTTTTCCATGCCAATTTTTTGGTTCCGGAAAGGGTATGCTTGTCGAGAATATGATTACTCCAACCCTGTGCTGAAAAATCTTTGTATGATAATCTCTTATAAGAGTATTGCTTATCTATTCCATCTAGTGCTGTTTTTCATTTTTATCATTCGAAAACTTGGTGTTGTTTTGGATATCATTATTTTTTATGTTGTTTTGGATATCCATTTTGACGAAAACTTGGTGTGCTTGAATCCTTTTTTAACGAATAACTGGTGTTGTTTTGGTATTCATTTTTTTGTTGACGAATAATGTTCATGTGTGATTTTACACCATATTTATATAGTATCTAGAGCTTATTCATTGCATTATTGTGCTATAATTCTATATCTTGTTGGAAAGGTATTACACATGCTTGTTTTGTAGATATTTTCACATATTTGTAGGGCTTGTGGCTATTGGAAGCGCATGGTGAGTACCTAAGACCCCCGGGATGATGAAAAATTGATGCACAGATGAAAAAATAGAAGAAACGAATGAAACAAGCAAGAAAAAGAGTGTGCAGAGCTGACACGGGCAGTGACATGGGCACCATGCCCGTGTCAGAGGCCGTGTCACCTCAACAGAGAGATTTTGAAGCCCAGGTACCTGACACGGGCTGCGACACGGACGGTGACAGGGGCAGAATGGTCATGTCGTGCGCGCACAAAATAAAGTAAATATGCCTTATATCTTGCCTATTTTATTTTGCTCTTATTTAATGTTTAGCACTTGATTAATGCTTTTACATGTTTGACAATATTGTTCATAATTCGAGAGATGAGTTCAATATTAGGTCTTTAATATTTGACACAATTTACTTGCTTGAATCGAGAGGTTAGTAGGTCGTTGTGAGGATATTAGATCTTTTAATCTATTTGGAGTTGAATTGCATGTGTTAGGTGGAGACGCTAATATATGTGATTTAATCTACGGTTTTATCGATCTCGAGAGGGACGATAAGCTAAATTTGTGATCATCTTATAGGGTGGATAAAGGAAACATTTAGTTGTGATATATTTGAAGAAAACCCAACTGTTAATTGAAACCACAGTAGAATCTATCATTCTCATATATTTTCTTACATGTTTTTCTACCTAGTTCTTTATTTTTGCTCTATTTCCTTTGATTTATTCTCTTAGTTTAGCTAATCCATCTCGTATTCGATCGTCTAAATAAAGTTGACACTATCATAATCTTGTACTTGATATATTAATTATTTGGTCTCTTTGGATACGACCTTACTTGCCACATACTACGAGTGAAGCCGTACACTTGCGGTCGAGCTTTAAAATATAGGCAAACAAATAACTTGGTATTGTTTTTGTCCATGATTGAATCCGTTTTGACGAAAAATCTCAGGGGATAATGGACGAATACTTAGTGTGTTTGATTCGTTGATAGTTAGTTCTATTTTGTACATGTTGCGGGTATATACTGTATATTTTTAGTGTATGTCTCGGGGTATGAAAATTTATATGTTTCGAGTATGAAAATTCTACACATGATTTATATGTTACCATCAGATATGAAAATTTACATGTTGCGGTTATATACAGTATATACCAAGGTTGTACAATACACATATACATAAAATATACATGAAATATATACTCGAGATTCTCGTAATTCAAGCCAGCGACATATTGGGACACACATATACATAAAATATACTTTAATTATACACTCGAGTTTCAATCGTTCCTCAAAATCGATTTCAAAACCCACATAGTTCATTCAATACTTTAGTGAATGAAAATCATCATAGGTGACTCTATCTAAACAATATCAAAAACATATACCTTTAATATACACAAAAACAGTTACGAAAATATATTAATCTAAGTAAAAAATATTCATGTATTTGATCGTATATTTTACAGGACTATCTCTTGATATGGCATAATTTAAGTTTGCGATCGTTTTTTTGGTCTGTATATTTTCCTTTGGGCAACGATGAGCATTAATTTTCAAATTCAAAAACTTTGTTATTTTTTTCTCGATCCATTAAACAATTGTATTATATA